AATAAAAAATAAAAATTGATAATTTTATTTTTATTCTTTTGTTAGCTTGCATTCTGAAGGACACTTTCCCTGAAAATTTTTTTTCGTAAGTTGTAAAACAAACATAAAATATACTGGGGACATGAAAATGACTGTTTTTGTGAGAATGACCCATATAAAAAAAAACATACACATTATGGCTAAATAGAAGAAAACATTGGAATTTTCTATATTAGTCACTTAAAAGTTAAAATTTTTTGGGGGGAAGCAATATCATTACATTATTAAAACAATTTAATTAATTTTTAATTTAAATAAAAATGACAAACCTATTTCATTCAATCCTCTGCATAATTTTTTATGCAAACTCTCTTTGGAAGGAGAATTCTGTTTAGAAGGTGTTTTTGGTTTAGATACCTGAGGTGCCTCATCTGCAAAAAGAAAATTGTTAATTAACATATTGGTTTAAGTTTTTTTAATTACAAATAATAAAGTTTCTTATAAAATTTCTTAATTATGTCTATTATTTAATATATACAAATGCAACTTTGTAACTTATGATTATAATTACCCAGCAAAGAGACAACTACAATCACTTTGATGGCATTTGCACTATTACTCTTTTGCTCAGCTCATTGCCCTAGCTCATTTTCCCTAGCTCATTGTTACGATTTCCTAAAATTTTATTACAGTTGTACCGTTTAATGCAGCACAGTTATGAAAAAAATATGACCCTTGTCCACCACTGAAAGCAGTGAATAAGTATCAGAAATGGACATTAAGAGAAGACAGGACACAAGAACATCGAAATTCAAAATATTTCCATAAACGCCTGTACTTAATGGGAAACTCATTCATGAATACTTAGTATCCCATATCAGCCTAAACCGTTGTAAATCGGTTTGGAAGGCTTAAGTGCAGTTGACATGCAGTTTAATGATAAAATAATACAGCATGTTTAAGAAAATTTTTACATTGCAACCCTCTATATCTTACAGCTTGTAGGAGAGTGCCATTGTGCATAGAGTGTTCGCATCCCAATGAGGTCCACAGATTTGAATCCCAACGGCGTCCGGTTGATACGCATCAAGTGGCTATCACTGACCACAGTAATGACGTAAAATATCCTCACAAGGTATCTGCTACATTTAAGACTTTCAAATTCCGAACTTTTCATGACTTTCCATGACTAATTTCAAGAACTTTTTATAGCTTAATGAAGTTTCTATAATCCCGACAAAAACATAACAATAAATTAAAAAAGGCATTATAATAACATTTATTGAAATGATAGGTATAATCAAAACTGTTATACTCTGCTTCTTCATATTAATAGATTTTAAATTTAAAAAACAGAGCAAAGAAAGAGTTGAAGCAATAAAATAGCTGGAAAAAAATACAAAAGCAAATAATTTTTTTTCTGCAGAATTATATTCTAAAAATACTTTTCCTCTTCATCGGAAAGGAAAGAAATACTCCTGATTTTTCTGTTCTCATTTCGGAATATAAAAAAAATGTGCCAATGACTGACTTGCTTCAGCGAGAATTAATTAATTGATAAAATAAAAAATAATAAATAATAACAAAATTTCTGAAATCACAGAAGTTTAAAAGATAATTAACTCTAGAAATGCTGTTTTTTCATTAATTTTTTGAAAGAACACCATAATTTTTAAAGAACCCGATAAAAAAATTTTATATTTTAATAAAATATGACTTTGAGTGGGGATTTTGTTACAAATTCGGATATTCGGAACACCACGAAATTGGGGGGAGGGGTAAATTCCATTTTAAAAATTTTATTTTTCGGCAACCTAAATCCATGACTTTCCATGATTTTTTTTAAAAAATAGTTAAAATCATGACATTTCATGACAAATCTTGTTCAATACTGAATTTCATGACTTTCCAGGTGTGCGGATACCCTGTCCTCAGTTATAGACGTATCATGAGTTAGAGTCCCCTTAGTGTCAGGCTAACCATGGGAGGTTTTCATGGGTTTTCCTCTCAATGTAATGCAAATACGGCTTAGTTCTATCAAAAAGTCCTCCACAAAGGCAAATTTCTCCCAATACTTGGTCTAAGAGTTCTTTTGTTTTCCAAATTGGGTTCAAAATTACAAGGCTACGGAGTTGAACATTGGTAATTGCACACTCAAAATTGGTTTCGCTGCTTAAAAACAGTTATGAAATAAAATACAGTGGAACCTGTCTAAATTGACCACCCTCGGGACCAAGTCAAATGGTCACTGTATAGAGGTGGCCACTTTACGAAGACTCTTTAAAAAGGACTCTTGAAATAAAACTTGTAGAAAATGGTCACCTTACTCAGGCCTTCACTTTACCCAGGTGGTCACTTTTACAGGTTCCACTGTAATATTTTTAAAAAAAACTTGCGGAAGAATATTTCTGATTTCCTCGAAAGTATGTTTTCTACTGGCACAGTAATTACTAAGTGAGCCACTACCGCTTATTAGTCAAGGTACTGAGCAGTAATAGTGAAAGACCAGGTTGTATCCCCTGTGGCAGCTAGAAGGGCACACAGATTCAGATAGTTAAGGTATTAGCTAGTCTGAAAAATAAAGGTGATCGGCACAATGTTCCCATATTGTTGAAATCACGGTGTCAAAATCGCTCAGCCTTGACCACCATGACTCTTGCGGCAGCGATTTACTTTTCTACATGAAACATAAGTTGCATTTGAAAAATAAATCTACTGTTACACAGTATATAAAAAACAATAAAAATACACATGCTTTTAAACTTATTTAAACAAAAAAGTAAGCATATCAACACTTGTTTAGACACAGAAACTCTTTCACAAGATCAAGGAAGGCATTACTATCTAAAGAATTATGTTAGGGTTTTTTTTCCTGCAGTTCCCTTTTATTTTAGCATTTACAATTCATTAAAATTTTATTGAGAATCACATCGCAATTTCTGTAAATATTTTTAGTTTAGTACAATTGTATGTTATATGAAAATTTAAAGGGAAAATATTTTAGATTGAAATTTTTGTTTAATAGTAAATTTTTTTTCTTCTTCTTGATATTGAGAGCACTTATTGATATTTTAGATAGTACTTTTGATGTATTTAAAACATTATTTATGCTATTAAAATCTGTGCTCAAACAACATCAGTGCAAAGAAAATATATCAACTAGCACGTTTAAAATAACAACAAGGCATTGAGCAAATTTTAAAAGAGAAAATTTTGTCACTGTTAATTATACTTAATAACATGAAGTGAACTTGAGAAAAAAAGATGCCTCATACTTCAAATAGATATCACTTTGAAAATTATATACTTAGCTGAAATTGTAAAGAAAATTTTAAAATTGCAATAACTTCCAATTGCAAATGATGAGTTTGGTTAGCAAAAATGTTTCTTTGTCACACATAAAAAAAAAATTAAAATAATAAAAAAATTGAAAGTATCAAATTTAAAAAGATAATAAAATATAACTAAATATAAAAAGACAAAAAATTAAAAAGATAATTATCAATTTCTATTGTTACATCAATAGCATTCTAAGAAAAGTTTGTTTCAAACAAAACAATAAAAAGAAATTGCTAAATAGTTTAATTTTTTTTTAAAGGAATAAACTGTTCATTTAGAAATAATTTAAACAAGCATGCTATTAAATACGGTGATATGATCTCAGATCTCGGGGTTTCAATCATAACAAACGCCTTTTAACATAAAATATATTTAATAACAAGAAGGATGATGATAATGGTACAGTGTCATGGAGGAAACTGATTAGAAACTGATTTTACATTACTGCGCAGAGCGCCATCTATTGAGCTTTAGAAATTATAATTAATATGGAGAAATAATATTAACAAACTTCCCCCCGATTCATAAAAATTTAGTCATTTCATATATTAATCAAAGTTATTTTTCTCAAATGTAAGGTACCAATATTTAAAATATAATATAATCCTACCTTTTTACAATATGAACCCTTCTTAATTATATAAAGATTATAATGCAATACTATTAATCGAATTCTTAAAATAATATGTTTCATGAGCATTAGTTCAAACCTTTAACAAATTATTACCTTATAAATGAAATTATTGAAATTTAAGTAAATATCAATTGATGAAATTAAATTATCATATCATGAATAATAAATCAAGCAATTTTCACAACACAAATTCTTTCACATGCAAAATATTTCAATTTTAAACAAACATGCATTTAAACAAGAAAATATATATGTATGCATATTTTCTTTAAATCAAAAAAGTTCAAATAATATCTTAAGATAAACTTAATTTGTAAGTTAAATGATTATCTTAAGTAATATTGTAAAATAAAATGTTCAAATAATAATAAATGTGAATTTAAAGTTCAAATAGAATGTTCATATTAATTTAATTGTCCACTTCTAAATTATATAATAAATTTATAGGACGTTTTATTATTGACGTATCTGTTTTCAAAGCACATGCTCTTATTTTGTTATCACGTCCTTGAAATGTTTCCACAATTTTTCCAAGTTTCCACATGCTCCTTGGAAGTTTGTCATCATGAATCAAAACAATATCATTTACCTTAAAATTTTGATTACCTTTATCCAAATTTACATAATTGACAGCTCTTAAATTTAAAAGATAATCCCTTTTCCATTTCTTCCAAAATTGATTTATAAGTCTTTCTCGATATTTAAATTTTTTAATTATCATTTTTTTGTCAAT